TTGGATTTGCCACCGCATCGTTTCCACTCGCCGCCTGACCAAATCTCAGCAACAACATCCTTCATTTGACCGGAGCAGCAATCTGCCCTGGTCCAAATCTTCACTTGTCGGATGCATTTCTTTGGAAATTCAACCACTGCATTCGGATTGTTGTCCTTGCAGGAGTGCCAGTATTGCTTGTCTCCACTTCCGGACTTTCTGGTGTCACCATCTGTCAGGTAACCCTTGTTGGTCGGGTTTCTCTTGTAGCACTCAGAGCTCACAGTTGCAGTAACTCCTTCTGCAATGTTCGCATCATCAATTGCCAGGGATTCTTTGCATTCTGGGACCGTGCAAAGCTTCTGCGACTCACCGCCTGTTGTAAGGCATTGGCCATCAACGACTTCGCACTGAACATAGGCACCATGGTCAAGTCGGGCAAATGTGTTGCGACAAAGGCTCAGATCTGTCACGCTGGAGCACATCTTTGCCTCATCGAGTTGGTCACCATAGCAGTCCAGGCCGAGGCCACGGGTCAAAGCTGATGCCACAAGAAGTCGCACCAGACTTGAGACCATGGCAGGTTGCTTCATTGGAACGAAAGCTAGGGGCCCTAGGGGTCTAGAAAGTCCGAAGACCTGCGGAAGGCATCCAAAATGAAAACTGTGCAAGCGTCCAGGCCTAGGGGCTCGCTGGTTCCGTGGGAAGTCTTTCGTTGCTTGGCAGAGGCACTTGTTTTGTCATCTCGCTCTCGAAGCCTCTTTTTGCCAAGCCATTGACAGGAGCATTGCACAACTGCCAGGCAGCCAACGAACCGCTGTGGTAAACAATCCGTGAGACATGAAATGCAGCTACGTCTGTACTCCAACTGATGGGAGCCTGCATCTCCCTCAAGTCTGGGCCGCGGCCACAAATTCCAACATCTTCAGCAAACTTTGTAGGCCGTTCTAACCAAAGCATTTCTTGCAACAGGCCTTAGGGGCATTTGGTGGTTCACACGTTTCATACAAACTTCTGATTGTTCAAATGTTTCGAGGATTGGCACCAGGTGATACCCAACCTGCAAGAAGCTGCATCAGCGGCACAACTCTGCACCGAAGCCGCTCAGCTCAGTCTTTGTGAAGATTCTGCTCAATTGCCATGTCACCGGTGACCTGTGCGAAGGCGGCAAACCTGAGAAAAAGCATGGCAGATTGCAGCGCAAACTTCTTCTTGCTATGGTTGCCTTCGGTCCAGGACGTCACTACCCCTACTAGAATCTTAGAAGCTAAGAAAGAAAAGCTTCTAAATGCCTATGTCGATATCGAAAAAGGCCCCAAAACAGTTCCACTTCTCGGCCGTCCGGAAGCCATTCTTAGCAAAAATAGCAGCCTTTAGACCTTTTTGTTCAAGTTTGTTGTTCCCCTTTGCTCCTTTTGTACTCTGTTTTATGGGCCTGCGACGTCCCTACACCTTGCCGTCTCAAATGCAAGCAAAGGAGCGCTGCTAGGACAGCAACTCCAGCAGAAATGGAACAGAAGGTGTTTACCGTTGGATTGCTCTTGTCTGCGCTCTGCCTCACGATGCAAAAATGTCCTTCAAATTCTCAAGTGACAGAGCGTTAGCGTCCTTTGCTCCTAGTAGTCCTTGCTCCTAGTAGTACGGCCAGGAGCCCCTAGTAGCGTCCTTTGCCCGAGCTGCAGCACTCCCTCGCACGTCTTCTTCTGGAAGAGCTGATTGATGTGCTCTGGCCCCTGTGACTCACCCCGGATGTCGTCGAAGATCTGCGCCGAGAAAATCTTCAAAACAGCAAATAAGGAACTCTCGAAGTCTTGACAGGCCACTGCTCTTAGGTTGGAGGCCATCGATATTAGGTCGCCAAGTGAGGACATGCCTTAGCAGCCCAACGGCCTAAAATGTGCCATCTTCTTGCCTTGGCTAGGTGGGGTCAGAAGGAAAATGACTGAACTTATTGGCATCGGAACTGGCATCGGCGTATTTTGAGATTATTGACATCACTGGTGTTTACTATAAAGCACGAACAAGTGCATCGCTTCTAGTAACAAGTGCCTTACTAGTAGTAACAAGAAGCTATTAGGAACAATAAGCTACTAGGAACAAGTGCCACGCTAGTAGTAACAGGTGCCTCACTAGTAGTAACAATGTTTGCTATTAGGAGCAATAATTCTATCAATTTCAAGATACGAAGAACACGCAGTTCTGTCGCTCCTCAGCGACCCGTCTGACTTGCGCACAAAAACTGCCGCAACTCCTCAGTTCGAGGTGTCTCTGCACCGAAAGGCAAAGACTTAAAGAAAGCAACAAATAGAACAATCATATGAGCCTCATGTGGGTGGCATTCGTAAGTCTTACCCCCTTCAAATTGATGGACCTTGGTGACCTGGTCAAATAAAACACAGCCTTAAAACAAACTTTTGATGGCTTGGGCCTAGCTACGCTCCAGCATTGCTCTCAAACACTCCCGCACATGCAGGAGCAGCACTTAGCAAGGATTCCTCAAGAAGACGCTTAGAGTCATGAGAATTATATAGTTATTGACGTGTCCAAGCTGTATGTGTGGGCATGTGCTGCAACAAACACAAGTGGGCATCGCGGCCAGTCCTTCTCGGGAGTGACATAGTAGGAGAGCTGCAACTGATAGTTCAGGCGGCAAAGCCTGCAGCACAGCCAGCTGAATGCAGGTCACGGTGATGATAAAGTGCTGCCAGGCAACGGAAGGTCAGCGAGCAACAAAGCTGCAAAGCCCACCCTCAGTCGCAGCTCTGCTACGCTACTCAGCTATGCTGTAACTCAAAATGTTTCGCTTTAAACCTAGGAAAAATCGCAGAGTTCAAAAGGATTTGAGGGAGTTCACAAGTGCGTTCACATGTTTTCACTTAGGCATTCATCCAAGTCACAGAATCCAAAGAAGTCGGGTAACTTTCAGATTCATGGGGACTTTGGGTGGCCGTGGTCGCCAGCGGAAGGTTGCCTGACAAGTCTGCGTTCATTTCTCATAATTCGCCACTGCGGACTCTGTGCCTCCAGACGCCATGCTGTCATCCAAAGAGTAAGCCCCAGAAGTGAGATCCAAAAATTCCTCTCCACGTAGAACAGCTTTGGCTTCCTGAGTCTGGGCATTCAAAACCTAAGAGCGATGGCCTCCAACCTAAGAGCGATGGCCTCCAACCT